TTAAACAGAAAGCGCATACCGCGAATAAATGGCAACCAAAAAGCATTAAAACCCAGGATTAACATTTAAAGAAACAAGAATTCATTCATTTCAGTAATATATATCTGGCAATGGCTCAGTCAGTAGGGGCTTGGACTGTGAGCCGTAGGGTCGCCGGTTCAAGTCCCCGAACAGTCCTAAATGTGGAGTGTGGACTGCTACTTGGAGAGGTCCCAGTTCACCTCCTGGGCCCTGCCGTGGTGCCCTTGAGCAAGGCACCGGACAACCCCCTTCCTCCCGTTGCTCCCCGGGCGCTGTACAATAACTGCCCACTGCTCCTAGTACTAGACTCCTGGTACTAGGATGGGTTAAATGCAGAGGCCAAATTTCACTCTGTGTGTTGTGTGCTCTGCATGTGTGACCATTAAAGAGGGTTTCATCCCATAGTATTCTATCCCTATGCAATAGCAAAAAAAGAACAGCAAAAAACCCTAAGACAAAAGAAAACTCAATAACAATGTTGCTCTTACATTGGCATGGCTAAAGAAAAAACCCACTGCTAATGCAACAACATGTCCAGCAGAGTATTCATAGTAAACCAAGAACAATCAACAAAGGACTTACAATTGATGAAATAGAAACATATATTTAGTTTAGATTTAGATTTAACATCATTTTTTCGGGTCTGTCACATTTTGCCTTTATCAAAAAGTTTGGCAGGTAAAAACAGAGAGGGATGTGGACAGAGAGAAAGTAGGATGACGTGCCATAAACTTCCCCAGTCACAATAAAACTGTAACATGGCACCTTCGGCTTCAAGGCGACAGGGATGACAGGATAAAGGCATCTAGAAACCATGTGTGTGATTTTTGGTAACATGACGTAAAGAGACTGAGTGTGATTAATTCAATATGTTGACAAACTTATCTTAATCGGCATATCCTAAAAGACAAATTACTAACATCTTCATCTGAAATTCCAAAGTTGTTGAGTAAATGTAATGTAGTAAAAGTACGATATTTGCCTCTGAATTGTGGTGCAGAAGTTTAAAGTAGCAGGAAATGGAAATACTCAAGTAAAATACATCAAAGTAAAAAACAACTTGCATACTTCAGTAAATGTACTTGCTCAATCACTGTGAAAAGGCAAATACAGAGTGGATGTATCATTACAGTCGGTACAGTGAGTCACCTTCCTTCTCTGCTAATGACCTTTATCAAATAAATGACCTTTTCGACTGAAGCAAAAAACAAAATCACATCCCCTCTAATTTTCCTCTAAAAACAACAACAAAAAATTAAATCAGTTTCCTTCTGTGTGTCACACACAAGGAACCTTTCTTACATCTGTTATCTTAACAATTGGGCTTTGACCCCTCCACTCCTTCTTTCTGGAGCCCTAGGTAAGGTAAGATTGTTTGATTGCTGAATCATTTTATTGCACCGTGATTTGACTGATGTACTTCGGACTTATGTGTGTATGAGTTGTGCAAAACAGCGTCAGCTAATTACTTGACGCACAAGTATCACTATAGACCAGATCAAGTTGCAGAAAATGTTCTTAGACTAATACGTGGTTTGGCCTGAAAATCTTATCTCTCGACATCTTGTTAGTTTGTCACTCAAGCTTTATGCAAACATCGTCTGTCCGTAAGAGTGGGCGAGCCAGCTCAACTGCTCTGTAGAAACTGGCTCTGCCTGCAGCTCAAGTCTATCACACACACACACACACACACACACACACACACACACACACACACACACACACACACACACACACACACACACACACACACACTTAACATTTCTGACGTATCGTTTCTCACCCAAACAGGTTAAATTACATAGAATTATACATCTGACAACAAATGCCTACATTAAACAAAAGAGTCATTTACATGTTCTCCAGTCAGTGTCATTTGAAAGGTAAAACAAAGTTCTCAAAACAAAAGGTTAATATTTCACCACTACCAGGAAGTCATTTTCAGAAGTATTTTCTCACAACACAGCCTGTTTAAGTTCAGGGAAACACATAAAGATGCCGCTGTTCTCTGTCCTTACCATGCCAAATGTTTATAAAAAAATAGACAGACAGTGCATTACATAGTGAAGATGCTGAGGTCATAAATGTAAGGAAATAAAATTCAGTTAATCACAAACAGTTGCTAAAACAATAAATCAGCTTAAGTCTTCAATACTCTGAACATATTTTCTGTTTTGACCTAAGCAGTCCAACATGGCACTTTTTGCAAAAACTTTGCACAGTCCTCAACAAAAGACACAGGAATCTGACATAAAGCCACTTTATTGTCCTTTCTTAATTGCCTTAATATCAACTCATCAATCAGAATGTACCACAAATCAATTTAATATTTGTACATACTCTATTTTAAACAGTTTTAACTTTATTTTGAGAAGGTGTTTTAAATCCCCTAGTTGCTCTAAAGTCATGAAGTAGGCTATAAAACAAAGTTGAGTATGTTTTTTTGAGCTGTTAAAGAGGGCTAATCAGAAGAATTAGGTTAAAAAAAGCTACATGCAACTTTGATTTGTAAAATGTAGACATGCTGTCTTTATGCTTTGAACCAGACTGCCCTCTTCTGGTGGAAGCGTGTCACAGATATTCTCTTTTCAGTCACTTGTAAACATAAATGTAAAATATATTTATGGGAAATTAATCAGTAACACTGAGTTGATGAGACAGGTCGTACAGAAAAGTGGTTTATTTGTAATACAGCAGGACTTTTCTTCTGGTCTTACATCACATACAGATGTCTCCTTGCACTCAGCATTGAAACATGTTATTTACCGTTTTTATATCTACTTGTGTAACTATAACGGTACAGAATGAATCATTTTAATGTTTTTGTTTGCACTGATTATCATTGTTTCACAGACAGTCTACATCAAAGTTTCCTTACACCCCAAAGAAAACCAAATAAATCTACCACTGAGTAAGAATCAAGTAAACTGATAAAACAAAAGACGAAAACCTAATAATTTAAAATGATGATATAAAACCCACCATTTGAGGGAATTAAGAAATACATTAAATCAGTCTTTATAGATAAATATATGTGACTCCAAATCAGAACCGATTAAGCTGAAAGGAAATAGAAGTCAATTCTACATATAAGGCCACAAAACCCAAATGATTAAACTCATGATTTAACATAGATGCAAAAGATGCACAATGTTGGGGTGGATTTACAGTATGTTGTACTGTCACTGGTATACGAGTAGTAGTACCCATGTATGGCACACGAGAAGTTTTTTTACTGACATAGGTCTGTGGGTTCTGCTGGTTTCAGTTGTGACACACGACGTGGATGTGTTCTGATTACCCTGCTTTCTTTCACATAATAATCACTGAACTAAAGCAATATGCATGTTAAATAAATATTACAGCCATTTATAGATTCATCAACAATATTCACATTCTGAGACAAAAACACAGAGAGCAACCTGACGCAGATTGAGTACTCAGCCCACGGAGGCAAATAAGCAGCAACTGAGCAGGTCATGTGTGTTGTGTGTTGTTTACTGCTTTCACATTGACAGAGCATAAAGCTGACTATACTGTATTCAGCGCATGTTGATACTAAATGCAGATAATGGTCGATTGTAAGTATGTGCATCCTACTGCAAACAGCATCAGAACACAATGAGAGCAGTTTGAAACATCTACAAGCAGCATCGACGTGCATGCAGCTCCCAGGATGGAAAGGTTTGCAACAATGTCAGCAAGATCTACCAGTACGCATGCAGGCGGTTGAGAATGTCTTGTGCGTTTAAAAATATTTTAAAAGGGCGACTTTGACGCTTCAGAAACATTGGTAGTAAAATCACGACACAGATATTGAAACATTTAAAAAATGAAGCAGTAAGAGGGACAGGGGAAACTCCTCTCCTGTTGAATTTGTTCTCGAATAATACTGACCGCTGACACAAACACACACAGAATGTTTGCACACTCGCACACATTTACACACTGTATCTGAGTATCGAAGTGCCTCAGCATTGCTCACAAATTGAAATGTAGAATTAGGGTGACATGCATCAGCTGTGATTGTTCCCAAACATGGCTCTGTTAGAAAAACATAAAAAAACAGGAAGTGCAACTGACAGAGAGCAGTTCTTTGTATGGACAGCTGACAGATGAAACCAAAATACATCAACAAGAAGTCATCTTTGACTCACTGCTGACTCAGTGGAGACTTGGTACAGCACCTAGAGACAAACATACAGTACACTGCACCTAAGGACAAGAGGTGGACACAGGAAAAGCAAGTGTGTGCTGTGATTGCTTGTGATTAATGTCCATTATGTATGTGTGCGATTATATGAAGTACATGAGAATCAATTTCTAATAAGCACTGTTAACCTGTTAAGCCCCAAGCCTGTTTTTCAGGTCTCAGGCTCGATAATGACATGCCCAGAACAAATGACTAGATCTTCACTTCTAAAAGGGGTAAATTAATCATCTTTTTTCTCAAAGTAATGATAAACCTGTGAGTTGGATGTAGAAAAGTCAGAATCAATATAGATTTTTTTATTTTAAAGTAAATTCAGATTGAACATAGTAAAAAAATTTAAATGATAGTGTCCGTCAAAAAAGAAAACATGACTTATAGTGAAAAACACCCTTGAATGATGGGATAGTAGACTAAAAGATTTAGGAATCCAAACTATAACATATAATAAGTACCCTGTATCAAGATTGATGCAAAACAAGTGAAATTTGACCTTTTTAGAGATTTAGAAAAAAGAACCAACTTCTGGGGTCATTTGGGTGTATTTGCCATATCTCTGGAACCCTTTGGTCGATTTTGGTGATTGACACCACTTTTGAACCGTTAGAGCCAATAGAATCGAGAGGGAAGTTCCTAAAATCCATCTAAACATTACCATTGGTGAAGGGAGTGATGCGCAGCCAGCATGCCCAAAACCGGAAGCTGGGTTACAGCTCTCATACACTTTGTATGAAAACTCAGTTTTTTACAGAAATGTTATGATGGATTATCAGTAATCATTTCAAAGTGACACAGAGACATTGGCTTAACCTTCAGCAGCGTTTTCATGCATTTTAATGCCATTGATCACAACTTTTGATCAGAAACAGCAAAGGTACGACGTATTTGCCGTTTTGGCTACGTAAAGCTAAGTTGTGTGTTGTCTGGTTTTGCCTTCGCTGCCGCGAATTTTATGTCTTGTTTGTGCAGATCCGATGAAGTATAAAATATTTCTACTGTGAGTTATGTGCTAAGTGCGTTAGCACTCTTTCACTTAGTGCTAATTCAGACGCTCGGCATTAGAGTTGTGTTTTGTTTCTGCAAAATGTTTTAATATCGTCAGTTAGCTGAGTTTCTTCCCGTTAAGTGGGTATGACACATTAATAGGTTGTTAAATGTTAAAAAGCCCTAAGACACAGTTTCGGGCAGGGGCTATGGGGCTTAACAGGTTAACTACTTAGAGATCAACAGACTGAAAATGAAAGCCTAAAATATCCCTTAAACCATGAATCTTGCTTTTCACCTATTGATCAAATCTCCCGTACCTAACCGAAGCCCCCGTTCCAGGAACAAATAGAAAGTTGGACGGCTGCTTGTTCCTGTTTATTTTTTGTTCTTGAGTTGATTGGCCAGCCAATCAAGACCCTCGTAGAGGCCGTCTCCGCTGGTGGCGCAGGTGGCCTGGATGTACCAGTTACGGTGACGCAGGGAGTGTAAGCCCAACTTGTCTGTGATCTCAGCGGAATTCATGGCGTTCGGTAAGTCCTGTTCAGAGAGGAGAGGGTGAGAGAAGTCATGGGTCAGTCATCTGGCTTTGTGTGACTAGAAAGCAAATATCTTCCATTTTAGTTTAGGTTAAAATTGCAAGTATTGTTTTTTCTGCAGATGTGTGTGTATGGTTTTGGTTTGAAACAGATCTAATTATGGTGATATTGACTGATATTGCAAACGTGATAAATGTATATAAAGGATAGAAGGTCACAAACGAAACTATGTATATTTTTTCCATCAAAGACTTCCAGAGGGTTGTAAGGTTGTAAGCCACAATAGCTTTTCATCATTCAACTAAGGTATTTCAGATCAGAATCGATTTTATTACCAAGTTTACACATACGCTTATTATCATCTTTTAATTTAGACAATAATGATTATAGCAGTAGAATTCTATTTTGAAGATACTAAGAGGTTTGTTGATATGGACTGATCTTCCACTACAACCCTTTTTTGTGTCAATGTATATGCAATATGTACAATAAGTGTGTATATACAGTATGCCGAACAGTTTATAGTTTCTTGCCTGTTTGTTGGCAAACACAAGGAGGACTGCATCCCTCAGTTCGTCCTCAGCTAACATCCTCATCAGCTCCTCCCGTGCTTCGTTCACACGCTCTCTGTCGTTACTGTCCACCACGAAGATTAGACCTGAAACAGCCAAACATAAAAAACGTCATCCTAATTCTTTCTGAGGAAGAACAGGAAAGTAGCGTTTGATTAGCTCTTCTCACCCTGTGTGTTCTGAAAGTAGTGTCTCCACAGGGGGCGGATCTTGTCCTGCCCGCCCACATCCCACACAGTGAAGCTGATGTTCTTGTACTCCACTGTCTCCACGTTAAACCCTGGAAATAAGAGTGGGTTCATACAACATGTAAAACAAAAATGGCGGTCCATTTATGCATATGACAAGAATTAGCAACAGATATTATTTTTGACTGAGCACCTACCGATGGTTGGGATGGTGGTGACTATTTCCCCCAGTTTGAGTTTGTATAGGATTGTAGTTTTTCCTGCAGCATCGAGGCCCACCATCAAGATCCTCATCTCCTTCTTCCCTATGAGGCTTTTCAGCAAATTCCCAAAAAGGTTCCCCATGATTCAGATGAGGTTCTGAAACTTCAGTGTGTGGCTACAACCTTGATCAAAGATGATTTTTCACAAATGTGTACTTGTCCAGCAAGGTTTGATTAAAAAGGGGGGCTGAAAAGAAACAGAACAAATACACATTATTACTTTTATGTTTAATGCAATATTGCATTGTGAAATCAGATGAATGATTCTCACAAACATGTTGGAATAAAGAGATGATTAGTAATAAGTTACACGCTCTTTAAGGCCTTTGTTAAATTACAAAGAAGGGCACACTCCTGCTCTTTTAATGATCTGAAAACACTGCACTACCATGACAGAAACTGTCACCTTTTTATGTAAATGTCATCGCTGTGGGACAAATAAAGGATCTCTGATTTCTACATGCACCACCCTAAGACAGATGCAAGCTATGCTAATTGCCTTCAGTCATCACCACAGAGGGTGAAGGGGGTGCATGTCAGTGCCATGACTCCAGGCTGCAGCACAATCTGTTTGGACCCTTCTCATTGTTTTCTTTCTCCTTCAAATGTTATCTTGCAACAATGCCAAGCCCTCAGAGCACATTCAAAATGCCCTACATTACAGGCCTGGCTTGAAACCATTCAGTTGATCCCCAACCACAAAACCACCTGGACTAAAACACGGACAGAACAACACGTCTGCAGTTTTGTCCAACATTCTGATTATTGTATCGGCAACAAACATTTGTGCATATTTATGTGTCAACAGAGTATAGGAGTAAAATGCTTTTATATAAAGGGCTGGGTGATGTGGAGAAAATAAAATGTAATGATCTCTTTGTACATCAGTGATGTTGAAATAAGTGGGTAAACAAAAATACTACAATACCAAAAACAGTCTAGTAATTTCCCCTTTACATGCAACATTCAAGACGATATGTAGTTGCAAAACACGATATCTGTATACGACGTAATATACTGCAAAGCTTCATTCCAGAGTCCAAAAACATTCTCTAAGAGTAGAACTGCACACAATTATCAAAGCGAAAAAGTCCTCTTACTAGCTATAAGCCTGATTATCAGATTGATTTTATTTCAATGTATTCATGTATTTATCTTGTAGTTTACATGTTTATGTTGCCTTTCAACACAGCAAATGTTTTTCACAGATGGAATGTTCCCAACTAATGTTTTCTAAATGTAAATGTAATGTAATATGTTTTGACATTCTGGCATATGCCCTATGTGAAATCTACAAATTGCAAATGCTCTACATTTAACAGTATGTGTAGAAGCTATATTTCATGTTCATCCTACAACGCCAGTTAAGGACTCAGATTATCAACAGACTCATATTGAGTTAACACCATAGACTGTATGTTAACACACAGAGGATAAAATACAAATAAATAAAGTCTCCAGAAGAACTGAGACTAGCTTTAGCCCTGTCCATGGTGCTGAAGAGGACCACCACACCTGTCACTGCCTGACACCAGATCCTCTCCTCTCACAGGTGCGTTCACAGGTATGAGTGTGAGCTCTTATAAATGTGATTACTGCACGATATACCGGCCTGATCATGTTCATTCAGCTCCGGGGGACTCAGGTTACGGCAGCAGGATGCTACACGGTTACGTTATGGCTACCAGCCGTCCATCTCACTGCTTCAGCTAGCGAATAAGCACACTTAATCTCAGCTACCAAGCTTAACGACCTCCTCATTATCTAAAATAATGTAAACTCTTTACCAGTTTAACTTTAATCGCTTTATCGATGCGCTAGCTAACTACCCGATCCACCCCATTCATCCATCCGATTATATCCCCTCCTCAACGGGCATCCTGCTGCCAGAGAGCCGCCCACCGCAGCCACAGAGCGGACAGCACCGAGGCTACACAGCCGCCACAAGGCAGCCATTAAACACAACGATATTTAATCACCTGGTGGTACCTGCGTGTGTGTTATCTGGGTGCATGGTGCCAGTATCCTTACCTACCTTAGCCGAGTTTTCCTCTGCTGCTATGTCTTACGGTATTTTCCGGGAGACGAACTCAGCAGTGAACCAGATCTCGCGAGATTTGATGTCAAAGCCAAACCTTGATTGTGTACCCTGCATAGGTTGACTGCAGAGGTGGGGAAGTACATTTACTCAAGTACTGTACTTAAGTACAATTTTGAGATACTTGTCTTTTACTTGCGTATTTCCCTTTTATGCTACTTTGTACTTCTACTCCACAACAATTCAGATGTGAATAGTGTACTTTTACTCTTCTACATTTATTCCATACCTTTAGTTGCTTTTACCGATTTGGATTAATGATGTGGGAATCATCACTTAAATAAGTCTTTAGTTACACCTGGAGAAAATTCACAAGCTTACCCTGCAGTATACAAAGTCATTAAAACTAGCTGCACCTTTACCAGCTTTGCTAAACACATTAATGCATCAATAATTATAATCAAAACATATAATATATCTTATTCTGAAATATACCAATCTGCATGAGTTTATTTTGGTACTTTAAGTTCATTTAGGTGACAATACTTTTGTACTTTTACTTAAGTAACATTTTAACTGCAGGACTTTTACTTGTACCCGAGTATTACTACACTCTGGTACAGGATTTTATTTGGGTTTGATAAAGATTTGCCACATTTCAAAATTATTTTGGAACATTGTCACTTCACTTCTGATTTGTAAGTGTTTTGGTTTTTCACAACAATGAAAGAAAGGATGAGGTTAAACACAACATGCTGCTAAAGCTGCAGTTCTTTTTTAGTTCAATTTCAATAACATAAATATCACTCTTCACATAACTTTAACAAAAAGTTAACAATAAGTAGTGCCAATAAATTACCTCTGGTGAAAAATGTGTTCTTTCTCCGAACACATAACAGTTATATTCGTTTCTCTGTTTTTAATGGGCCATGTTTGTAACCACCCAAGACTCAAATACTACTTCCTTCATTTTTCTGATTAGTCACACATAATTGTGTGGTCATTCTTCTCGACTTCTTTTTAAATAAAATTATTAATTATTGCCCATGACATAACAAAAAAGGAACAAAAATATACACATTTTGCAATGTTGTGTAATATAGTGTATTTTAAAATTAAATAAAGTATAATTGCATTGAGGGCATCAATTTCAATACAAAATGCTGAGAAGCATCACCAGCTTCCACTTGAACAGACACAGGACATTTTCCAAGAGATGACCAGAAGCTGAAAGCATTCTTCAGTGCATTTTAAGCTGTATGCCACTTAGCATCAAGTTCAGTCGAAATTATCATTGTCATTTAAAATATGCTGATTTGAATTGCTACTGAGCTTGACATCCTGTTAGAGTTCCTGTTTTTTGTGTGAAATCAAGTACGTTAAATTAAGTTTGTCTTCAGGAAATTATTTTCAGAATTGCATAACGCTATAGTGCAATATTTTTATCCACAAATGGGGAACAAAATAAAAGTTTCTGAATAGAAATAATCATGCAATCCTTAATGTAAATAATTAGGTGATATATAGATTATATACTATTTTTAAACAACAGAAAATCTTATATAGGAAAAAGAGAACTTTAACACATTAGGTAAATGTGGCAATGGGGGCAAACAAGGTATGTGAAAACAAATACAAATGTATCTTTATGACACTACAAGGATGTGTTTTGATTTTGTATCGTCACGGTTTATTGCACTTATTGTATGTCGCTGGGGATAAAATTGTCAGCTAAATAAAACATCATGTAACGTAAAATGACTTACTGTTTTTTTTTACCAGCAAAGTATAAATATGCTGCTATGCTATGCATAGGTCTGTTATCTGACGGGGAAGCAGGCTTTATTTGTATTTTGCACAAAAAGATGAGTAATTAGTTTCCATTTTGTGCTGCACTGTGATGTTTTGCATTTTAATGTACTTGATCCTACTCCTATTTATAAAGAGGGAATCTGTATTTTACTGTTATTTCAGACATTTAAGTACAAATTCACCACACATTTACAATGCTTTGACACACTGTGCTACACTGTTGCTCACCAGGATTCAGTGGACAGAAATAAAGAGCAGCACAATGCTTGAGCAAGCAACATCATGGCATTTCACCTAGCACTGAGCAGACTAGGTTTGTTTAGCTGGCACCATATCATAGAGATTATAGCCTACTAACGTTTGTCATAAAAAGGTATTGTAATACATATCTAATACATGAGCATGTGGCACAAATACTGCAAGCTGTGCAAATGATACTTCCAAGACATCCTGCTGGCAAACAGAGGACTTGAGACAGTTGGTGGTTCAAATGTTTGATGCTCTGCTGCTTTGCAGGTCATTATTGCAAATACAGCGAGGGGGAGTGGAAGTCATTTATAGATGAAAACAACACAGTTGACAAGATGGAATGAGCACAGACTCTGCAAGAATTATATCTCAACTTGCAGGTACTATGAGTTTGGCTTTTTTTGTTTTTTGAGAGTAACAGAGTTGTAGTTCAGAAATTTGAATAAATAGTGTTTATACATTTCCAATCTTTGTTAATCAAGCTATTCTTATATGCTGATTAATCACTACTCTGCTTCATGCATGAGTTGCTGACATTTAATGATCTTGTTAGCAAGTCATTGAGGTTTTCTGCTTGACAGGAGTCATGACAGCACTCATACATTGCACTCAAACAAAAAAAAGGGTGATGAATCATTAAATATAGGGGAAGAAAATAGGTCTCAACCTTTATATATACAGTCTATGGTCTCAACGTAGTGAACATGTTTGAGATAATCTAATTTGTCAACTTTGTAAATGACCACGCAATGTGTGTTTTATTTAATTTCCACATTATGTTTTCTTACTATGTATAATCTCTTGTCTGGTTTTGTAAAGTGTCCTTGGGTGACCTGAAAGCTGATTGTAAAAAACATTATAATAATAATAAAATGTCTAATAATAATAATAGTAATAATTATCATTATGATAATAATGATAATTATTGGGTATGAGGTATTGCCACGTTTTTGCCACGTTTTTGTTGACAATTTAATATTTGTATGTCTGCTTTCTTTTTGCTCCTTGAAGTTATTGTTCACTTATTATCCATAAACATTGAATATGACAGATAAATACTGTTTTTGTTATTATGGGCTTTCACCTCATTTGACATTGTCTGCTGTCCTCTTCTGAAGTCAGTATCATATTAGTGTGTTAGTGAGGGGCTTCAAACAATAACACAGATAACTCACAGGCTTTAGGAGCTGACAGTCTGCTGCAGAGCACTGCCCCCCAGCGCCTCTGCAGAGCTACCGCTGCCGCCCCCCCCCCCCCCCCCCTCCCTCCCCTCCCCCGGCGGCTGACGGGATGCTGGCGGAATGATCGACGCGGACTCTGTAGGGAGGCCCAGGTGTTGGGACAACGTCCACGGGCCGCGAGTCCTTATCACTACAGCATAATAACACATCAGCATTACTCGGGGCTGAGCCATTTTGGACACACAGGGACACGCTCTCCCCCCGCTGCTGTATGCAGAAGAAGCCTGAACACGGAAGTTGTTGGTTTGGATGGCAGCTGTTTTCCAGAAGTTCACGATGAAGAGCACCGTTTTTCTACTGCTCCTGGCAGTTCTCACCTGTGGACTCTCGCAGGGAAACGAAAATGATGTCGAGGAGGTGCAGGTGGAGACCCTGGTGAGCCAGACACAGTCACAATGCAGCAATAACACCCACTGCCAAATATATGCAACAGTGTTAACAGTTAACTCTTCTGACCCAAAGGTGCAACCCGAAACTTGCTCTGTACTTTCCAGAATGGGAGATACGCTGACAATCCACTACACGGTAAGACAGAGGACACAACAATCCGTTATGTCTGCGTTTTGTAATAAATCGTAGGGAAGCGGACCCAGCTGCTGACGAAAGCAGTTGTTGTCTATGTGGCACCGTCTGCATGAACCATGGGAACCCGCTGTGTTTATGTATTACAGACATATCTGGGTTCAGCAGCTGTCAGAACTGCATTTTCGAAATGAAAATGGGGCAGATTGTGGTTTATTGTCAAGCAGTAGGCCTACGTTTTATTTGGGATTGTCTCGTGTGCCTTTATCTGTCCTTTGCTATTACTATGGAGTGATGGGGCGGTGCAACACGTCAGCAATAAAGCCCAACCACTTCATCCAGGCATTCTTATAGTAGGCCTACAGGAGGCTCTCTACTGGAGGCTCACACATGTTGATCTTTAGGAAATAGAAAACTCACAGTCTAAATGTTATTTGTCATCAGTGATTAATCAGACAAATATTTTATAGATGAATCGAATAATCGTTCGGTTGATAAGATGGTAACAATATTAAGAATCCATTATATATGTTGTTATATTTTCTTTGAAGAATAACATAGTCAAGTATACCTCCTAAAAGGGTGCATGCTCAAACTTCTCAGGAGTTGATACATTTAAACAAATCAATCATTCCAATCTTAGTGTTGTTCTTTCCTGTCACCATCTCACACGTTACCATGTATATTTCACTATCCAGGGTAAACTGTTGGATGGAAAGGTGATCGACTCGTCACTATCCGTGGACCCGCTTGTGGTAGAGCTGGGGAAGAGGACAGTTATTGCTGGTAAATTAACAGTAAATCATTAGGTGTTGCTCAATCAGTGGCACTTTGATGTGCTCACATTTGAGAGTTCTGCAACATGTTGAGTGTGCCGGGGAATGTGCTCGCTTTCCTGATTGAATTTCTCTGTGTGATTTTCTTATCAGGTCTTGAACAAAGCTTGGTTGGCGTGTGTGAAGGGTAAGTAAAATGTGAAGGTCCATTTGAAAGAAAGAGCCTATCAATTGATTTACTTATTAAAGTCTGCATGCAGCCTTAAGCCATTGCAAAAACTACTATAATTTATAGTTTTGTGATGGAATCTGAGAAATTCTTCCCCTGTAACTGTGTTCTCTTTTTCTCGTTTAGGCAAAAAATTAAAGCCACTATTCCATCTCACCTCGCATATGGAAAAAAAGGTTACCCTCCTACAATTCCAGGTACTGAACCCATGCAGACAAATCAATACAAACACAGACATGAGCAAAGGGCTTGGTGAAAATGTACAATCATGAACAAAAAAAGAATAAGCCTCATTCGTTATTTAGATATGTATATGTTCCTATTTGTGAACCGAATGTACGCACACTGAAGTGCAAACAATTAAATAATTAATTTTTCACCTGCTGACTAATAAAGTCCATGCATTTTTTAATAACTATTCTCATCTCTTTTTTCACTTTTCATTTTCATTTGTTTACTTAATGTAAATGAGTAAAACACATTAAACGTGAGTTGGATTTCTCCTAGGTGACGCTGTCCTTGAGTTCGAGGTGGAGGTTGTTTCTCTGACACAGCAGACGCCATGGCAGAAAATGGTGACGGACGTGCTCCCCCTCGTGTGTCTGGCTCTGGTGCCCACTCTGCTGGGCCTGGTGGGCCTTTACCTCTACAACAAGGCCAATGCAGAGAAGCCGAGCAAAAAGAAGTCCAAGGATAAGAAGATCAAGAAGAAATAAGGACAAGCCACAAAACTATTTAAATAAAGTTTTTTAATTGTATTTGGTGTTCTTTATTTAATCTGAATTGGCTTTGTGTATAAACCATTCTGGGAATTAAAATAGGACATGTTGTAATTATGTATAAATTCACTGTCTTTTAATCCTGGGTAAGTTATAATGGTCTGAAACTTCTCTTACCAGAGAAGCTATTAACCAAAGCTTTACAGTTTGTCTCTCTATCAACCTTTCACACAGCATGCACAATAAGCCTTCCATCTTGAGATAGGTAACATATATCCATAAAGATTACGTTTTCCTTAAAGTTACATGATTAAAGCTAATTATTTCTGTATGGAAATGTAGTGCAGACTTCTGTGATCACTGCATTGCCACATAGTAACCTCACTTTCAACAAGTAGCCTGACTCAAGTCTGCAATTCAATCGTCATTTTTGAAGTTGAACAAATAAACAGGCATCCTTAAATATCGAACATTGCAGAATGTACTATGAAATGATTGGCTGTACATTTATAACATTGCAATGAAATAGTGAAAAGCATGTAAGTAATCGTCTGCTATTTTCACATTGATGTGAAAGATATGTGGCCAGTAAAACACAGTAGTCTGGTGAATTTCAATCGCAAAATGAGTGTGAAACTCACTTTATCTTTATGATATGAAATAAATAATATTTTAACGCACTTTATGGCTCTGATTATTCTCAGTAGAGTAAGGAACATAGGTGGGCTTGTTTTACTATACGGCGGTGCTCGACGGCACTGCCAGTGTGCCTCCACCCATGAACTCCGCTCACTCGCGTTACGCTGGTAAGAAACGTTGACTACACTGATATCCCTCCGCGATTAAAATATGAATGAGGTTATTTTTCTCAAGATATTTTGTGCATTTCTTTATTTAGTTTAGACACTCAATTCGAACACACTATTCTGTAGAAGAAATAAACAACATAGGGCATCTACAAGATTGTATTTTTGAAATAAATATTTTGAGGGCGGAGCGGATGGCCCTACTTCTGGCGGTACAACCTCTTCCGGTCCTCTTTCCAGCTTCCCGTGCAACATGGTGAGTGTGTTTCAGCGGCGGCCGTGTGGCAAAAACTGAATTTACTGTCATTGTATTCGAATTATCACACGTAATTGAGTATTATTCCCATTTAAAGACATAGCTATACAACGATGTGTAAAAAAAGTCCACAAATGTCACTCTAATGTATTAATAAAAATAGTCGGGGCCTTATGCTAGCTGTTAGCATGCTAACCATTTGTGCATGTGTTCCTGTGAAACGGCGAAGGATGATGTTAATATGTGGAAATACACCACGAAGTGGCGTGGATTCATTATATATCTTATTTTATGCCGACGATGTGAACCAATGTGTCAGTTGGACATAACTCAAAAGCTTCAAATTATTATTGTTTTACGTGTGGTGCAATGGCTGTCGGGTTTGAGACACCGCTGCCATCACATGCATATACAAAGCTATACAAAGCCCGGTTTAGGAGAGATACACGATTATGGTTAATTCCCCCCACCATCTTATATTTGCATTGCGTTTAGGATTAGTTAAGTGTACGGGCTATTTTCAGATAATATTGACGTATTACCTTGCTCAAAGCCTGTTGGAAAAAAATATGTATTGGAAGACTGGCAATTGATTGACAAATCCCGGGACTGTTTGTGCTGTGCTTTGTATTAAAAGAAAGGTTAATTGCCATATAGGTTTCCCTTGAATATAATTTTCCTTCGTGTATTGTGCATGCAAATAACATATTGCTAAGACATTTAATAAAAAGGCAAAAACGGTAACTCAAAAACATAATTGTATTCAGCATGCCAACAGTTGTCAAATTACACTAAGATATTAAAAAAAGTTTACAAATGGTACTTAAGTTTGTATACTAGGAAAAAAGTTGTATTTGGTAAATACTCTGTAAAAATCAATACTTTTAGCAATTCACTTGGAGACAAATTATTTTTATTTAAAAGGGGAAATTCTTTAATGTTAAACATAAGCAGACCAGACCTTTGCCTTGACTTTGATGCCAATTTTAGGTACTTAAGTTGTTTTGTTAAATAGAAGCATAGCTATTGCACTGTTTGGTTTTTAGGTTGTATGTCTCTCTGACTCTTCTGATTTTTGTTTTACAGACAAAGAAAAGGAGGAATAACGGTCGTGCCAAGAAGGGTCGTGGCCATGTGCAGCCCATCCGCTGCACCAACTGTGCCCGCTGTGTGCCCAAGGATAAGGCCATCAAGAAGTTTGTCATTAGGAACATCGTGGAGGCCGCGGCAGTGAGAGACATCTCAGAGGCCAGTGTCTTTGACTGTAAGTGAACAGGCTGTTTGCATCATAAATTGTCTTTTTGATTCTTGTGGCTTGTCCTAATCTGAATCTTTCACCCTGCAGCTTACGTTTTGCCCAAACTCTACGTGAAGCTCCACTACTGTGTCAGCTGTGCCATCCACAGTAAGGTGGTGAGGAACCGCTCTTGTGAGGCAAGGAAAGACCGCACCCCACCTCCCAGATTCAGGCCCGCTGTAAGTACTTTCTACTAGTCTGTGTTGCGTTAACTGTTGGATCTGCTAAACTACACTTAGTCATAGTCACAGTAGATATTATGACCAATAATAGGTCTAGTGCAGGTGTTGAAACTGGCACCGCTGAATGAATGCAGATGATATGGGGATTTCTTTTCTTTTTGTTTGACAAGTCACATTGTCCACTGTGAGAAGGGTCTATATGAGAAGTCTAAATGTTCCCTTTTTTTCTTTACAGGCCGGTGCACCAAGAGCCCCTCCTAAGCCCATGTAAAGCAGAATTGGATGATGCTGTACATCTGAAGAATAAATTAAAAAAATTCTTTAAAAAAACATGTGTGGTGTCAATTATTCTCAACTCACAATTGTGGGTAGTTTCAGGAAAGACAAGTCTGTCAAGTATTTTATTTGGAATAAACCTTTTTACAGTACAAAACTTACAGTAATTTAAAAGGCTCTGCAGTTATTTAAAGCAATATCAAACCATTAACGGTATGGGATGGTTAACAAATATGGTAAAACTCAAGGGAAGAAATTATTCAACAAAGGAAATTGAACACATAACTAGTTTCTAGTAGTACAGTCTATAAATGGAGTCGTTTATTTGGTTATCTTTGTGTCTAAAAGTAAAAGGTTGGGGAGCAAACGGCATTTGTTTTGCATGTATCGGGTTTAGAAGCACATATCTGTCTAGTGTTGCACATGAAGAAGAATAATTACCCCCTAAGGTTACATTTTCCCACAGAAAAGAGTGGATAATTTTCAAACGAGTTTGCTTATTTTTGGAGAACAAAACGAACAGTTTAGAGAGCTAACCAAGTAGTTTGCTATTTCTGTACAAGATCAGTCACACTTGAGGTTGACAAAACAGCTGAAAATTCAGGTATTCAGAATGTTCCACACATTGTATCAAGTTGGTTCTTCGGCTCCTAACAGTCTGCATTCCCAAAACCCTTATACATAATGAATTTAAATATCTTTGTTCAGGTCAAAGATTGCAAAAAAATGTGTGATCTTTTGTAATGAGCAGGGGGCAAAATAATACATAAGGCACAATAGTCAACTAAACAAAACACACCAACAGAATAATCACACCTGGGCCTTGTTTAACTACAAGCCTTAGCCTAAATCCCAATATACAGTGAAGTTGGATCCAGTCAATAGGTCTAAGCTCTTGTCCAAGTAAAACTGATGTCAAGTTCAGCGACCACTTTGGTGTTGACCATCTAAATTAGTGATGTCAATGGTTTTCTAAGTAAGGTTGCAGCAAACCACATCTCAAGCTTCACTGCCATGTTTGACTTACTGCAGACTTCTCTCCTGACATTACCTAACAGTCTATATTTTTATATTAAGGCAAGTTAATTTGAATATTAAATAAAACTACAACTTTAGATGTGAGATATTTGTCCACCTATTTAAATGTGTTTCTGTAATGGGGAGAAGCCCACAGGGCTTTGTGTCAACACCTGACGCTCCCTTTAAAATCTCATACAGTATTGTGCAATACGATTTCTAACCATTAATCAAAACAAGTACAACTCCACTTCATAATTTGTTACAATTGTTAAAGCAAAAGAACATTAGGGTAAACTTAGTTTATTTATTTTGAAAAGGAATCTCCAAATGATCTTTTCTAGATGTCTTCTGTAAAGCTAAGTGGAGATACCTCCTGGAAAGTATCCTGTTTGAACATCTACAAGGTTTAAATAAAGGAGCAATAAAAACAGAAATATTACCTTGCCGTTTCTTTCTTATTCCTACTCGATGCATTTTTCCCCCTTTTGCAACTGTCATTTTCAAAATAACCTAACGGTAGAAAGAAGTGGTTCTTTGGTTGAGATTAGAAGATAAAGAGACATGTCATCCTTTGAGAAAACCATGGAGTCATTCATAACACTAGAAATGATCCCTAAATATACACTTAAAGCCTTGAGTGGTCAGTGGATTTTGTTCAACCTGCAAAGGTGCTCTTGGGGAATAGATACACATTTAGAAATCTAGATATCAGTGGGTCTCTGAAAAATATGTCTCAGTCTGTTCTAAACTTATTTTAGTGACTATTTGGATTGAGAACATGGAGATGAATCTGAAATATAAACAAGGACTTCTAGACCACTATCTCTATTGTTTTACCATTTAAATAGTCAAAACAGAATCAAGAGCTGAAAGTGAAACATCTTTCTTAACCCTTGTGTTGTGTTCGAAAGCTGTTAACGTTCATGGTGTTCGCGGGTCAATTTTGACCCATGATTTATCTCAGTCCAAAACACAAAAAAAAAATGACTATCATCCAATATTGTTTTAACTACATCATAACTAACTTATTATGCATTCGTAACCGTAAACCGTACAATCCTGTTGTAATTTTATTTTATGGCCCAAATATTACACCACATATTGCACACGTGCATGTGTGAGTTCAGGTTCAAGTGTTAGTGTACATATTCTTTGAGAAAGGTCGAGTTCCCGTGGGGGGAGGGGGGCAGAGGGATGGGAGACCAGGTGCATGATGCGAAAAATTATTGTTGCAGTGGATGAAGGGGGTGGGGGTGGGGTGTCTAAAGTCAAAGATGAATTTTGATTGGGCAAAATTTGACCCAGTGACCCACAACAATGCTGCTGGGTCTCCCCAGACCCGAACACCAAATTATACACTTTATTTTTTTAGAGACCTTCAGACTTGGCTAAAATTGTCAAAATCAGTTTTGTAGTGTTTATATAGCTGCTGTGGAGGATATCATGAAGCCTTGTTCCGATCAAAAAAACTAGAGCGTAGTTATTATATAATTTTAACTTGAAACGGGTCACGGGAGACCCGAACACAACATAAGGGTTAACGTACATATCATTTCTGCACCTTATTACCAATACAGGTTATATCATAGATCACAACCAGCATTTTGAAAGAAAAACCCTTTTCACTGTGGACTAAAATGTGTTCAAAGAAAATCTAATATCTAAACGTTTTTCCTGTGAGGACGGTATTAAACTGCCACTGCACTTATTCATGTCATAGCAGCAAAAGCCTTGCACGTTAGTCTTTGATAAATTAGTAAAAGTGTTTTTTTCACATTAATGAAAATCAGCGTGAGGGAGTGAAGAGTGGGAGAATATAAATATTGTGCAAAGCTATAAGATGTGGACTATTGTCGGGAAAAACTTGAATAAGGAATTTTATTTTGTAACTTAAGTTATTTAAAATCACCAACAATGATCCGACATGATTCTGGTCAACAAGATATGATCAAGGTGAAGAAAGGCACAATACAATAAGATAAAAACATCAAAAATAATTAGAAAATATAAATAGATTTGTGTTGGTGTGCAGTTTGATGTAAAAGCAAATGTTAAAGACTTGTTAAGAACCTATTCAGTAATCTCTAAAATGGTGGCAGTGATACTCGTACTCCTTTCCCAGAGGGGGAAAAACCTTTTTTTCTCATTTAGAGAAATGTGCAGGTCATTAATGTATTCAATAAAATAGTTTAATATAATTAAAGTATTCTGGCAGGTATCAGTGCAACAAAAACAGTAATAGAAGAGAAAAAACTAAAACATTTCGTACATTGTGCCACACGGCATTCACACAAAGGCCTTCATTTTCTACCTTACTCATTCAATTAACTTCCATAAACCACAGGTTCTGTCATATCACCATCTCAAAAACACACACACAAACACACACACACTCAGTTCCATCTGTCCCACCCTGTTAAAAACAAAAGTGCATTTCTTATTCACGGACAACCCCTCAAAATCCTCTATTCGACTTGGACCTGGTTTTTGAGTTTGGTCTGCACTTTTTTATATTATAAAAAGCATTTAATGAGGCAACCCCAAGTTGTAAAAACTCTGTAGAACTTAACATTTGTAAGGGAATCATTTAAATAAATAAGTGCTTTTAGTACAAGGCATTGACCTTTCTACAGATTCTATTGTAGGTGAGCCTATTCACTTCTTATTGAGCTGTTAAAGTGCACGAGAAGGGACTTTTCAGGTTATGGACAAAAGCCAGATTGGTATATTGTAATTTGTGCATCAGGTTTGAATCCTGAACTTTGGAGCAAGGCACATCTGCGGATAAAAAAGTGCATTGTCTCATTATCTACAAGGAATTAAAAGTGCTTTTTAAATTGATTAATTGATCAAAGTGCATTTACAGTACAAAGGACCACGCTTATAGTGTTAGAAAACACACATATGAGCTGACCATTAATCCTGGGATATGCGTTTGAGTACCAGCGCCTATTTGAAATTCTCAGATCAGTTTCATGTATTTAGCGTCTCCTTTAACCCGTGTGCAGACCAAACCCAGCCAGGTCCTTGTCTCAGTGTAAAAATATCTCTAGATGAAGCAGGCTGACCATCCTCTGTCCTCAGTCAAGAATGTGCTCTCCTCGGACGATGTGTGAAGAAAATTCATAGCGGTCCTGGCTGCGGTGTCCACAGATGTTACACTCGAAAGGCTGGCGAAAACCGTGGCAGCCCATGTGGATGGTGAACATGACATGGTCCAGGAAAAGCACACGGCAGTGCGTGCAACGAAAAGAGCGCACAGCTCTTCCCTCCCCGTCTACAACTCGAAACGCCTCTGTAGAGGTGGAGGACGGCGCGGTGGGTGAGCTTGGGGTTGGAGCGAGGGCAGGAGGTAGGAGAGCTCCGTCCTCCCGGTCTTTGGCGCGGCTGGGACTGTCCTGCCTCCTGCGATGTGAACCCAGAGGAGGCGCTGGGTGGTGGTTTTTGGAGTGAGGGAGATGATGGCCATTGTTGCTGTGCAGGGCTGGAGCGGTACTGTTGCAGGGCTCGTCTGGCATGCTCTCTGTGTCTGTAGAGTCATGGCAACCATTGCTAGGTGAGGCTGCATGACTTCGACCCGCAGGCAGGTCTTCGTGACCCTCTGCTGCCTCCCTCCCCCCGACCCCTGCAGCTCTCAGCCCGGCTCCAGTCCCCGTGCAGTCCAGCCTGGCGCCCAGAGCCACGGAGCTGTGGAGTGGCCTGAGTTCTGTTAAACATGAGGGGTGAGTGGTGGGAAGGTGTAGAGGCCTCAGTGTGTCCGACACCCCTCCTCCTCCATTACCTTCTACACCTGTGTATTCTCCTCCCAGATGAGTAAAGTGTCTGGTTTCGTAGTCCTCCGCGTGCATCTCCCCGTCTTTATCCAAACCAGTGCCGAGCTCATAAGGTGCATCTGCAAGGTTGAGGTGTATGAGCTTCTGTCCTGCAAAAGAGAAACAGAATGTACTTTGGAAATCTGTGGAATACGTCCAAAAGCTTGTCGAGGTAAATGAACAGCCTGCCAAGTTATTTGGTAACATTCTTTATGCCATGATTAGTTTGGAGGTTCTAATTCTAAATCTGACTCAAATTCTGTATTTCCTCCCAAAATGCCTCTGTACAGGATTTTAATATAATTAAGTTCAGAATGTGCCATCTAGAGTCAATGCGATTAAAAAGCTTCTAAATGATGGTGCTTTGTATAAGATTTTAAATAATACAAATGTTCCTGTTAAGCATTTGATGCAGAGATCTCCTGCACAAGATGTGTGTAACTAATCAATAAACATCAATTCATAGTGCATATCTTTCTGATTCACATTGTAGTTTGGTTTGAATCAACAGCCAATCATGCAGCTTGGACACATAAAAAAAGAAATCACTTGAAGAAAAAGATCAGTACTATTGTATGTGTTTCCCAATTCAACCAATTAATGCGACTTTTAGTTTCCTCAACCTGTCCACTCTGAGACCAAATGCTCACCTACACATTTTTGAGGTGTGAATCTCTTGCGTTTGGTGATGCTGTTGGCAAGACGATCGATAAATGCCATCTTGTCTGAGGAGGGTTGCAGTAGAGCGTCTGGTATAAACTCTAGCTCTCTCATCTCCTCTCCTGCAGAGTACAAACAAACTTTAATGTTATTTGGGGGGTGTCTTATTACCCAGACAGCATTTATCCCAAATGTTTAAGTTGTACGATGGTTTTTGGATAAAAAAGCAACTAAGAGAGAGGTTGTGTTCATTGCTCTGTTTAGGAGGTACTGTAGACTACATTTCACTAGATTTACATCCGTTTGGAAAATGTTTACGACACTATGTTTAGATTTTGGTTACTATCTTATCTGTGGAAATGTTGTTTACCTGTGACATGTCACCTACATGAATTCAATTCAACTGTACCTGTATTATGCGCACTGGAGGGCTGCTGTGACTCCAGACTCTGTAAGTAGCTGTGGCAGCGCTCGCGGTGCTCCTCCAGGGTGCTCTGCTGCTTGTAACTGCGGCCACAATAACTGCACTTATAAGGCTTCCCTACAGTTGGAGAGGATACTGGGAAGAGAGTATAAAGAAAAAAATTAAAGGCAAATTAGTGTCACAATATTGTATGCTATCATAAAGAAAATAAAAACTGTTATCAGCCTTGAACCCGTCCTACCGGCATGAGTGCGAAGGTGGCCAGTGAGCGCGTCTCTTCTTCTACACGCATAGCTGCAGAAGGGGCATTTAAAGGGCTTCTCCCCTGAGTGCAGCTTGATGTGGCGGAGTAGGTTACCCTTTTGAGTGAAGGAGGCGCCACACTGATTACACTGGAATGGTCGCTCACCTGGGGATAGATCGAACCCATCAATCCAAATGGTCGGATTACATCTAAAATAACGTGTGTGAACAGTGTCTAATTTCCTTCCATGACTAAATCCCCATGACCCATACTCATATAATTGTTGGCGTTAGAAAGAGGTTAGAAAGCATCCTTCTTCATGTTAACAATTCCCTCTTCATTCCCATCACTCTTTGATTTCTTGTCAAAATAATCTCACCCACAAATGGAGTGGAACAGTAACCTTATTTCTGGCATTTCAGGGTAATTTGTGCTAATCAAGTAATCTCACAAACTTCCATGTGCTGTTCATCAAGCTGAAACAATGGCTTTAAGACAAGTTCTTCCAGTAAATAGTTAAGTGACTTTGGCAAAGAACACAAATTATTATTATTTGTTCAGTACTTCAGTAAAGAATGGCAACAACACAGCAATGTGTGTAGAAGGTTATGTGTATAAGAAAAACACAATATTTCTTTTCAACATCCATGCTATGTTTTTGGACATGTATCTAACCTTATATCCTTCACATAAAGCAAATGTTTTCTCACAGAGATGACTTATCTGAACTGGACTGATCAGTTACCTGTATGGCTGCGTTTGTGCACCATGAGAACATTAGGGCCAATGCAGATCATTCCACAGATGTCACACTTGAGCTTTCCATTTGGAAGTCTGGTGGCTCCAGCTTGCATGGATTCAGGATTGGTGAGCTCCCTGTAGCCTCCAACAGCCTCAGATCCCAGATCAGGACCCCCTTCTTCGAGCCGCTCCCCTCTTTCATCTTCAGTACTGCGGCCTGGGTCTTCATCACTGTACAGCTCCACTTTAATGGAGTTGGCTACAGAGGAAAAGAGCAAACACAAAGAAGTTGTTAAATACTTTTAACCAGCATATCGCCAGATTTAAGAGAAACAGACAACAGTGTGCTTATTTGTCATTACTTATGTGATAAAAGTAGGGACACCTTAGTATACTTTCACAAGCCGTAGTCTGTTCAGCTCGTGCAAATCTGAGAGAAGCTCGTGGATTCATCTTATTATAGACACATGCATTTCCAAACATTTGGTCTACCTACGCTGTCAAATGTATTATCTCTTCGATTTACACATGGCATCTATTGCACGTCTGTCCGTCCTGGGAGAGGGATCCCTCCTCTGTTGCTCTCCCTGAGGTTTCTCCCATTTTTCCCTTTAAACTGTGGGATTTTTCATTTTTTGGAAGTTTTTCCTTGTACGATGTGGGGGTCTAAGGACAGAGGGTGTCGTATTGTCATACTGATATTCTGTACAAACTGTGAAGTCCACTGAGACAAATGTAACATTTGTGATATTGGGCTATATAAATAAACATTGATTGAGAAGCTGATACTTTTGGTTGGCTTTCCATTTATCATGGTTTGGTTTCACAGTGCAAAAAAATAGGATGACATTTAAAAACATTTGAACTCATTGGAACTTAAAAAGAGGTGAATAACCATTACTCACTTACCACTGAGTGAGCGACTAGGGGAGGTATCCTTGCTGTTTGGGGTGCTCACTGTTGCTCCTCCAAGAGCCCCAGAAAACTCTCTTTCCATTGAAGAGTCTCCACTAGCTGCAATAGAGAAGTGGAACAAGCTAGATCTGTCATTTGAACCACGTGCCAATTAATGAAAGTATGTACAACTGTTAATACAAACTGAATTAAGAGAAAGATAGGAGTCTTACCTGAAATGCAAGACGGGACATTGCAGTCTTCAACATCCATACTAGTTCAAGCTGAATACTGAAATGACAGTTGTGCAAAATGTTAAAATCAATCTGAATTATCTCTAAAAAAAACTCACATCTCGCCCAACGTGTGTTGTGCAACCCCCATTTTAATACAACAGGTAAACATTCAGTAGTTACAGGCCTAGGTCAAACTTGACATCACATGGGTAAAATATAACCCCTGATACACTTAAAGTTCATTTGGACAAGGCATGAAAACTTAATTCAGAGAAGTTTAGGATTATAATACAAAGATATTGTGATATCACACATGAATGTCAGCTAACTACAAACTTGTCAGTGCAACTTGACTCTCAAGAAATACATCCTGAACTGCACCAATGTTAACTGCAACATTAGCTACTAGCACTTAAAATAGATGAGCTGAAGATTAGTTGTTAAGTAATCGAACCAGACAACAGTCAACTAGCAGCTACATTAGCGTCAACTCAAATCTTAGCAGCCACAGATCAGCTCATTGACCCATGACAACATTAATAAAGTAGGCTAATGTTCAGGCTAATCTAAGATTGTGCTCATTTGAGACATGTCTGATAAACACATCGTGATCAAGAAAGATAGCCTTTACTTTGACGTTTACATAACGGTGGATTTGAGGTGACCTAAATCTATGGGTCGGCCTCTGTGGCTAACGTTAGCATGTGAAATGACCGTTAGCTAAATTAGCTAAACTTCACACTACAACGCTACATCAGTCTGCCATCTTCGGCAGCTTATTGAAAAGAATGTCCCAAAGTTAAAGCTAAGTAATGTGGGAGATGACGCAAGGGATATAACGTTGACTTGTGACATTCATAGTTGTAATGGCGCTAAATTGGACACCCAAGTCTTTACGAGGTTGTGTTTATCGCTAGCATTACAAACCAACGTTAGCCATTAGCTAGCCACTGTCAATGTTTCCTAAACGGTTGCTATGGCACCCACCCCCTCCCAAATGCAATTGCTAACCAGCCAGTGTTGAGCTATCGAGCTAGCTCTCCCTGAAGCACTGAAGCCGACTTTTACAACACCGTACAGCGGAGATAGTCAATCATAGAAAGTACTTTTGAAGTTGTATGGTTATCGCAGTAACTGTCGCATTACCTGTCCCTGTCAGGGCTGTTTCAGTGAGATTATTCTGTATTTTCATCTGCCTGTTTATGACGGCAGCATCTCCCGGCAGCGTTTACCTCCAGATCCAAACAATTTCCGGTCAGATGCCAAACCTCTGCCTCTCAAAAAGCAACAGTGAATGGCCTCACTTGAACTACGAATATGTTTTACGAGAAACTGTGAAATGAATTTAGAACATGTCTTTATTTATTTATTTAGCACAAGCAAACACAGCTAACACGATATGTGTGTTGTTTTACATTACCGTTATATTTATTAGTAGTTATTTTTGAATGAATAGAACATATAGAACATGTCTACATTATGGATCTCCACAGGAGAGAAACAAATGAAATAAAAAGATTAAACAATTGATGTAAAGAAAACTAACCAAAAACAACAGCTCAGATTCATACATACAAAACAGGTTACAATGAACATGTGTAGTAATAATAATATTTAAGATACAGAGACACCGGGTAGGATACAACACACATTAATTTGATGTATTTATGTCATATATGGTATTCTAATGTATGTAAATCAGATCAGATAACAGTTGGTACGTTTAAAACAATAATAATACTTTTTTCAAAATGTGTTCTGTACTAAATAATGGCATGAAGCCACAGGTTGAGGGACACCTGCTTCATCTGCATCCAGACCCAATGTTTTTACATGTCAATTATTAAATTGGACCAATATATTTTCAGCTGGCGATGCCAATAATAATGTATATTGCAGCGCTGAAATGCTGTCTTAAATCAGGTAATATATTCATTTTGTAAATACTCTTAAAATGTATTGCTTTGGTGCAGTTGCATTCTGAAATTGATTTGGCATTCATCAGTTGTAAAAAAAAACAGCTTATTCTCCTATGTGCAGCTCTTAAAGTTTATATACACTAGTGGCAATTGTCTTAATCTCTGTACTTTAAGCTTTATCAGATGTCATTCGTTTCTGGTGATACAACATGATAGCAGTTTCAGAGATTTAATAAAATAACCCCATAAATAACAAAATGTTGTAGGCCGCAGTCCAATTGTTATTATTATTGACATGTATATGGAAAATTAAAACTATTTTGATCCCTTGAAATAATTCACAATTTGCTACCTGGTAGTATATAAAGAATAACATAACTCAATAAAAATAACCCCTTCCTTTAGCCACAACATTCAAATTATAAACACATGAATGCATCAATACATATATTTCAATAATCCAGATTTACAGATATACATTAACCTATCCTGAAATCTTACTTTTTGCCGATTAAGTAGAAGTAGCCAACTTTTGTTTTTGTGTACTTATATCTTGATGCTTATACTTTGTTGCTGTTATTTTCATTTTAACTGAGTATTTCTACTAGCCTATGTAGTATAATAACTTGTTCTTACTAGGGGATCTAAGTACTTTTCTACCTTTACTGCTACTGCACATTTTAATCGGTGATTGAGCTTGAAGGACAGACTGAAAAAGTCTGAACAGGCTGTCTGTCAGAAATCTGCTTTGTCTGGGGCGCACAGTGACCTCTACTGTACAAGATGTGTCAGTTATGACGTATTGGCTGTTTTACGACGGTGTGCTTACACAATGACAGTTTCCGTCAGCTCGACTCGCTAATCGTAACCGCGTTGAGCGAGACTTTTTTTTCGATTTCAGTTTCAGTTGGGACAACAATTTCAACATTTCAAACTAACGATCGATGTCGAGTTACATTTTACACACAGAAAGAGAGATTTTTTGAATAAATAGGAGTTGTACTTTGTGTACTTAAACTCTGAACTTCCAGCTCGAGGCCCAGCAGAGAGCTCGAGCGGCAGCTCCGAAAAGTTTGTTGTTGTCACGTGATGCGAGACGAATGTGGCGATAAAAGTTTGTTTAGATAGTAAAACTAGGTGGCGTACTACGTTATTAAAACCTTTTGAACTCCTTTTTTCACCAAAATGCCTCAACCAAAGCATCGAAAGATTGCTGTTATAGGGTACAGGTCTGTAGGTGAGTAAAGCACACGAGCTGGTGAGCAGCTAATGTTAGTAAGCTAGCTAGCTAACAGGCTAACGCTTTGTTTTCCTCTTAATGTGTAATTACACCACACACGCTAGATAACATTCGTCCAGGCTATTTGTGCTCCGTGTGTTTACCCAGCAAGTTGATAACAAAACCACACTAACAATTAACATTATCCGATGGTATACCTAAAGCCATCTGTTACTATTTGTAACGTGTTGTGTGAAAACAAAGTTAGCTCAGCCGGTGACATCCTAGTATGGAGACTAGTCGTGGGGGTTGAAGTCTAGCAAGTATGTAATGTCGAGGAATTAAGAAAATCAGCCTCTAACCATACTAGACATAGCAAGTTAACATCAGTCGTTTATATTCTAAAAATATGTTTGTGTCTGATATTGCGCCACACTAATGACTAATCATATTCTGAGTTAACCGTTTATTTATCATGTTTTATCACGGTATTTATAATATTTAAAGAAGACATTACCAACAATGTTGCATCAAAAGCATTCACAAATATATATATATATATATATATATATATATATATATAGCTGTAAAGAAGAGAAATGACCCCACAGATGAACATAGGATCACACATTTTGATAGCTGTGGTAGCAGAACCTGTTGTGTATCTTAAGAGCACTATCACTTCACCAATAGTTAATATCTGTCAATTATTTAGTATTTATTATCGGGTTGTACACGTAATCTGAGAGTTTTTAATACAATAGTGTTTCCGTACACACACGACATATTTCAGAAAGCTACTACACTGACACAGTATTTATGTGTGTGTGTGTGTGTGTGTTAAAGTGAGCAGATGATTGTTATGAAGAGACAGTTTTAACTATGTAGGAATATCCCCAACAACAACAACAACCATGTTATGTTTCTTTGCCCTTCACAGGAAAGTCGTCTCTTACAATACAGTTTGTGGAAGGACAATTTGTTGACTCCTATGACCCCACCATCGAAAACAGTATGTGTCATTAATAGTTTGTGTGTAAGATATTGCCGCTAAGAAAGTATTGATATATAGAGCTTGATCTAAAAAATCTTTGTTAATCCCTCTCCCCAGCCTTTAACAAATTGGTCAACGTGAATGGTCAAGACTTCAATCTTCAGCTGGTTGATACAGCTGGACAAGTAAGTTCTTCATCTACCAACATATCTGACACAAGCACTTAGGTCTTGTTTTTTTCCTAATTCTTATGCCACTGTCACCCTTTAAAAAAAAATATATATATATTTGTTATTTTGTTGATTAAAAAGCTAGACTGGCCTACTGGTAGAACTGTGTTTTCCTCCCTTTTTGTGCAGCAAGCAGGAAAGGGAAATGCTCAACAACAAGAATATTTATTTGGATAAAAAGCTTGATTTGAAATCTGGAAATTATTAATTATATATTTTTCCAATACATTTTGATTTTGTACTAGTACAAGGCTTTAGAGTTATTGGAAATGTTTGGACCACACAAATCAGAAAAATTCATACGCAACCCACAATGGGAATCTAATTTTACAAATAGTAAAATATGAATATAAGGAGTGTACCCTAATCTTTATCAGCATCTATGCATAAACACACATTTTAAACAGTATGAATAGAAATGCAAAAAGAGCTTAACCTAAACTGCGTAGTATTCAAATGTGGATGTAACATTTAAAGTGATAATCCTGTATGTGCGACTCCATTTAGTGATGTGTTGTGTTTGGTAACTTTAATGCCCAATGAGATTATAATACCTTTTTTCCCCTTCTGTCTGTAGGATGAGTACTCAATTTTTCACCAATCCCACTCAATGGACATCCATGGGTATGTCCTTGTCTACGCAGTGACTTCCAATAAAAGGTGAGTGGATGTTTCTTTTTCATATCTGTACGAATAGGAACACACTGTTACCAGTCTTAAAACATTCTATATTATGTAGACTACACTTTGTGTCTCACAATTAATGATAGGAATGTGTTCAAACATATACAGACTTTACTTTTGTTGATACTTTATTCCTAGAACAAAAATATTTAAAAGGGTTAAAACTACTGTTGTGATAACCCACAGTTTCATCTATTTCAGTGCTGTATTCAAAATCATTGGGTGCCTGTTTGCCCATTTCTTTAAACAAATGTTCATAAGTATATATTTTTTTCTAAAAGTACTTTGATTTCTGTCCCTGGTCAGTTTTGAAGTTGTACAGGTTCTACACGACAAGCTGCTAGACATGGTTGGGAAGATTCAGTAAGTTTAGTTTGATCTTTAAAATGCAATGCTTCCAAAATGGTCTTTTTTTATTTTGTAAGTGTTTTTTGTTTTCCAACAAGTTTTTCTTTTTCTTTTTTAAAGGGTCCCAACTGTTCTTGTAGGGAACAAAAAAGATCTCCACATGGAAAGGTAATCAAGATTATTGAACATATTTAGAATCTAAACTGCATGATGTTACTGTCATTGAAAATACAATTAATAATACAGTCAGACATTTTTCATGAAAACGGAAGAAATAAAAATGGATTATGTTAATCTAGTACCTGTTTATCCAAATACTAAAGGAGTTTTCCGTAACTGAAGTTTCCATTTCTATTTTCCCAGGGTTATCAAGCCAGAGGAGGGAAAGAAACTTGCTGATTCCTGGGGAGCTGCATTCATAGAGTCCTCAGCCAAGGAAAATGAGGTAATGACAGATATTTCCAATTAATCGATGCAGTCCACATACTCATTCTGACAAAGATTCACAAAATTAATTTCATTTCAATATGTTTCATCACACTGATTACAACATTCTTGCAATACAGACTGCTGTGGAGGTTTTTAAGCGGATCATTTTGGAGATGGAGAAAGCTGATGGAAATGGACCTCCAGAGGAGAAGAAGTGTGCTGTGATGTGAAAGTGTATCCAGGACATCAGTAAGCTCATTTGCTGAAGACAAGAGGCACAACTTCACCAGCTGGCCAATCGTGACCTCACCGACACCAAGACACTGCAGTGGAACTTTTCTGCTCCATTGTGATGCTTGATTGATTTACATAGCAAGCCAACTGGCCCGACAGTCGATAAAACCATCCCACATATTGTAACCGCAAGGAAAAGTTTCTAAGAGCAAGATTAATCTTTGTTTTAGACAAAGAATTACTGACAGTAAATACTTTCTTTAAATACTGAAATGTAATCTTAAACTGGGCATAACATCTATTCAAATGCCCAGAAAACAAAAACATATTTCCAGACATATTAGTCCCAATTAATTGCATCAAATTCTTTATTAAGTGTATTATGGCAATTACTTCTAAAGATGATGTTTGAGACATCATTGGCTTATATCTTCTAACTCTTTGATTAGTTGAGTTAATGTAAAGGTAGGGCTGGTAAATAACATTCTTTAAGGACTGGTATTATTTCTTTTTTTTGACAGTGATTCAGAGTCACAGTTCACATTGCTTTAAATGTGGTGTTAAAATGTCAGTATCTCTTACAAATGGAGTTCCTTAAAGACCCTGGAGGAAATTGAACATAAGAAATATCACTTGTTTCACAGTTTTTCTCACTGTAATTTTTCAACTTATCTTCAGGTACCTTTCGCCAATTAACTCTTGAACTTTGTCTTCATGATGGAGGAATCTATTTGTATATCTAAAAACTCACATTTTAAGCTCTTCCGCTAAGCATATTAGTCCTCTTCAGTTGTTTATACAGTTTAATTTCTCCTTACTGACTGTAATAACGATGTCATGGGCAACCCTCAAATAATTTTAGTTTAGGTTGGAATAGATTTTTGGTATTTACCAGTTATGGCCTTTTTATACAATATCAATAGAATCTTAGTCATTGGTTTGATACTATTGGTTATTTTGAGTGGTGCAGGTTTGCTCTCCTTTCAATATTCCAAGTAGATTATATTCTTATAAATGCATTATAATTATGAACATTATTGAGTTGCATTTTTCAAATTACATTTTAACACTGCGTAAGACTATTCGAGTGTCTCAAGGCTACACATTTAGTTCAGTTATCTTTGATCTCATGGTTTTGATATGATGGTTTAAACTGGCTTGATTAAACCAAGCCAGAATGGCATGCAGTCCATTTAATTCACATTTTGGACTTGCATGTTCACTGTCAGATGCTTGAGATCCTTAATACGTTTTTTTTTCTTAGATTTTGTAGCCTGGCAAAACATGACACAACATGGATTTCCCCCCATAATCCTCATGTTAAACCTGTAGTGGGTAATTGTAACTTCCTTTTTTTTTTTTAAGTGCTTTGCTTAGTTGTTGATTGATAATGATGGTTGAATTTAGCTGGTGATGCTGTGTCCTGTGCCTTACAGTTCCTCAAACTCCCTCATCTTCTTCCCTTCATGACTCAAGGTGCTCTTAAAGGGTTAGTTTTTTTCCTTCTGTTGACTTGATACCACTGTGCAGGTGGTGTTGTGCACCTGAACACCAATATCCCCTTGTGGGTCAATGTTAATTCAGAAATCTTGCTGTAAACAGTTTTGTATATAAATAAATCTGTTACTCATTTGATGTGTACTTGTGCTGGTTTGAGCTGGATTACAGTAGGGGTCGCCTATTTAGAACTGCGGTCAAACCAGCCTCCACTTCGGAAAACACAGTCAAGCCAGCCCGCACGTTGTATTGCGGTGCGCGAATATCCTATGCATTACGGTAGAGGTCTGGAAAAACTGCCTTCAAAATAAAAGCGCTTACACGGTCAATAACAAATATACCTATATATATATATATATATATATATATATACTGGAGCTTAAATTAAGAAATATGTACTATATAATGTGATCAATAATCATTTAAAACAAACTACGTATAACTACCACATTATAACTGAGTGAATGTAAAACTTAAGAAACTCTACATCAGATGGTCCTGATTCTCTCTGAGTGACTAGATGGGGTGTCCTGCTATCATCCTGAAGTGAAATAAGTCTTTGATAATGGATAGTTTTTGTTTTATTCTTATCTAAAAACGGAGGGATGATAGCTTATATATGAGACTTCAAATGTATTTTATTTTGAAACTCTACATCAGATTGTCCTGATTCTCTCTATAAGTGACTAGATGGGGTGTCCTGCTATCACCTTGGAGTGATATTAGTCTTTGATTGACTTCGAATGACTCTTTGATTATGGACAGTTTCCATTAAATAATAATCAAAATATAGATGGGCAATAGATCTAATTTGAGATTTTAAACAGCATACATTTTAAATTGTGCTTTAGAAAGTCATGTTATTTTAGGAGTGTTGTGCGATGGTGTCAACATCAATTGAAACTAGAGAATGCAATTCCTGAAGAAATTGCTAGTGGGAATGCTTTATGTTGAAAAGCTGACGCTAAACTGCTATGCTGAAATGTAATGTGTAAGAAAGTGAAGAATTTAGATTGAAATGATACATGAACACTGGGGGCTTGAATGTGTGATGAGTGAAGAAAAGAAAGTAAAAAGGCTTGGAAAAGCAGCAGAATATTTGAACTGCAAACTTTTGAACTAACTTGATGGTGAATGATCTGTCGCCATGGCAACGGCATTTGATGACACCCCATAATACGCTTAGATGCGTTGATGGCTGCATCGATACCAAACCTGTGAAGTTTTGGGCCGTTTGGAACATTTTCACTGAAGTTATGAGAAAACCGTGTTTCATGGCGAGCATTGTGTTGCCATGGCAACGGCATTTGAAGAAACCCCATAATTGACGTCGAGCTGTTGAGGGCTGGACCGGTGATCTACAGCGAAGTTTGGGGGACGATTGGACCGTTTCCATTGGACTTACAGCGACATTGTGCTTCATGGCGAGTGGTCTGTCGCCATGGCAACGGCATTTGATGACACCCCATAATACGCTTAGATGCGTTGATGGCTGCATCGTTACCACACCTGTGAAGTTTTGGGCCGAGAGAGAGTGTGTGTGTCAGAGAGAGAGAGAGAGAGAGAGAAATGAACAGTTAGAACTGACTGCTGTCAGTTGGAGTGATGACATCATCGTGTTCCATTACACAGGTGTTTATAGTTGAGCTAACGAGCTCTGTAGAGATCAAAGGTTTGCATTGTTCTGCATTGTTGTTGCATCGTTTTGTGGAAGAACCATAACAGATATCTGTGAAATTTCAAAACGTGAAGCATGTCAAGGAAGTTGAGTATCTGAAATGTAATTTGTGTGTACTTTCGGGTTAATAATGTGGCCTTTTTGGCAGTTTAACTAAAGGTGTGCGGCTGCTGCTGTGAGGAAATATCAGCCTGAAATTACAATGGGTTTTAATGGAGACATGTTGAACGTTTTTGTCACTTCATGCCCTCAAGAGGCATTTTGTTTGATTATTTTGCTTAATTATTTGTCATTTTTCAAGCTACGAGATGTTTTCCTACGTTTGTCATGAAAAATTATGTCTCAGGAATGTAGGGTTTTGGGAATTATGGCAGTTTTAAAAAAAAAATATGAAGGCAAATTTCAAGATTTCCTACCCTCTAGCTGTGACATCACGCACTCTAGTTAATGTTAAAATCTGAAGAAAGCCTACTTAACCAAGGTCTGAACAATGTTTAATATCTCTAAAAGTAAGAATCAGATTTAAAAGTTGTGTTACACGAATAATGTCAGAAAGATGTGTAACATTTTAAAGTTGGAATGAGGTTTCTTAGTGAAAGTATGAATGAACAGTTAGCAGTTGAAGTCGCATGAAGATTGTTCAAGTCTGAAGATTTTCTCCATTGACTTCAATGGTTAAAAATGTGATGAATTATGGGATGTATCTCTGGAATTATGAAAGTTATGAATGATAAAAGTAATAGCCATCGATTCCCGACCGAGCTGAACGTTTTGATGTTTGACCCGAGTTTCTGCGATGTTGAATGCAGGAGGAGAAGAGGTGCACAATTCCGGCGGAATAATAATAATTTTGTCCGTAGAATAACATATAGTTGGAATGCTGTATCAGCATTCCAACTAAATTAGTCACCCAGTGGAAATAGACATTTTAATATTGAATGTAATGGTCAGATATGTCTTCATAACTGTATCCTTAAGTTTTACATTCACTCAGTTATAATGTGGTAGTTATACGTAGTTTGTTTTTAAATGATTATTGATCACATTATATAGTACATATTTCTTTATTTAAGCTCCAGTATATATGAATATGTTTGGTATGTTTTTTAGGTATATTTGTTATTGACCGAGTAAGCGCTTTTATTTTGAAGGCAGTTTTTCCAGGCCTCTACCGTAATGCATAGGATATTCGCGCACCGCAATACAATGTGCGGGCTGGCTTGACTGTGTTTTCCGAAGTGGAGGCTGGTTTGACCGCAGCATTTTTTTACGGCATGTAGGTAGGCATACACAGGATTATAGTATGTGGGGTTAATTCATGGTCTTCAGATATTACATGTTGGTGCGATAACACTACATGAACTACGGTAACGAATGCCAGCCATTCAAGTTTCTCGTTGCGAGGTGTAGCGGAAGACCTGCGTGGTTCTGACTGCAAGATCCCACCGGCTGTAAACGAACCCGGCTACAGGAAGGAGAAACCGTGAATGGAATATGGAGTGTGTAAGTGTATCTAGCCTACTTAAGCGTGGATAGATTGTACGGTTTTGTAATGAATCCCTTTTCACCTTAGTTATAACCTGACTTTCAGAAGTACGCTAATGTTAGCAGCTAAGTAAGTTAGCTAATTATTGACAGAGTAGTTCTCAATCTAACGTTAGCTCACTTGTTACTAACTTTAGCCAACCGCCAGGAAGAGCAAAAGCTATGTTTTACTTTCCCCCGGTATCGTTGTAGAGTTATCATATAAGATAACCAAGACATAGTGTACAATAAAACCTTACTAGTGCCACCGAAGTAAAAGCCACAGCCGAATTAAGTCACCTCGACTGGCTCCTTTTGTCAACAGACTAGCAGCTAGCTTGTTGCTAATGCTTAATGCTAATCTTATAATAATGTTTAAAAGTGGAGTTTATTCAGTTTTACACATAACTTCAACAACGAGGACACTCTCCGTTGGTTTGCCAAAAAGGTTCAGCTTATTTTATAACACTACTGCCAAATTAATCGTTTACACCTGCGGATACAACTGGATCACATGGTAGTGATGTGTTTTTATTACATGTACAGCACTTTGGCTCGACCAAAAATTGCTTTTAAATGTGCTTTATAAATAAAACTTGATTTGATCACATTTCTGAAGCAGGTAAAGGGTTGTGCTTAGCTCAAGTTGTTAAACTTGTTGATAGCAGGCACAGTAGCTGCAACTAATTAGCTATAATCAGTTTTAATCAACGAGTCAGTGCGTATAATGGGTAATAATGTTGTGAACCAAATGTTAGTGAGACCTTGATAAATGCACCTTGACAACAACCTAATACATAACGTTATGTTTGACCCATGGAAGCATACAACATACACATTGTTACCTACACGATCCACTCTACGTTAACTTAAAGGGGACCTATCATGCAAAATGCACTTTTGTACGTCTTTTATACATGAATATGTGTCCCCGGTGTTCCAGGGAACTCACCAAGTGTCAGAAAACACAACCCTCTCTATTTTCCTCCATACCCAAATCTCTAAAAAAGGGGCTGCAACGTCTATGACATCACAGAAGTGGCGCTACAGCTATTGGGCCAACTCTCCACCTATCAGGGGAATGTGAGGTTGGGCCACGGCCGGCCAAATTGCCGCTCGAAAGCGCTGGAGACGCTGTAGTACATATGCCAGGCCTGTAAGTGGCGCTGTAGTCTGCCACAAAAGCAGCAAAGAAGACTTCCCGCCCATAGTTACCATGGTTACCCTTCTGTTTATTCTCCGCTGTGGCTTTTTTTCTCCCTCCCAGAGGCAAGCGTTTGCTCCCGCTGCTTTAATTCAATGCAATCCCTCCCCGTCGAGGCAAGCACTGTAATTCTCTCCGGTTAGTCCACCAGCAGATGACAAACACCCACCTCTCCGCCTCTTCCCAGGAACGAGGGGACCGTGCGGCAGAGTTTCACTTTCAGTTTCTTTCGCCGGTCAAGATGTCCGTTAAAGTTTAAATCTTCCGGACAAAATTAGAAAAGTGCCGGTCAAAGGTCTTCTTTGTTATTTATTGAGCTTTAAAACAAATGAATAACGACTCTATATAAGGCCCAGGCTCCACGGGAACGCATACGGCAAAACGCATAGGATTAGCGCAAACGCAATTGCCAAAAAGCTTCCGTCCACACGCAATATACACCGGATAGTGTCTTGCCACACGAGACAGCTCCGTTTAGATCCAACCGCTGGAAAAGCTGCAGTACATATGCCGAGCCTGTACGTGGCGCTGTAACTTCCTCCACAAAAGCAGCACCTTCCTCCACAAAAGCAGCGAAGAAGAATGGTTGTCATGGCTGCACTTCTGTTTATTCTCCGCGGTGGGGGCCGAGGGAACCGGGCAGAGTTTTTCGCCGGTCAACGTGTGTTAAAGTTTAAATCTTCATGCTGCCTCATGCAGCAGCTGATCCAGTAAGTAAACCCGACAGTA